ATGCTCTGGCAGAACGGATGGGGTCTGGGAAGACGTTGTCATGGTTGGGACATGGATGCTTTGGCAGAACGGATGGGGTCTGGGCGGGCGTTGTCATGGTCGGTAAATGGATGCTCTGGCAGAACGGATGGGGTCTGGGCGAACGTTGTCATGGTTGGGACATGGATGCTCTGGCAGAACGGATGGTGTCTGGGTGGACGCTATCAGATATCATGGTTGGGACATGGGTGCTTTGGCAGAACGGATGGGGTGTGGGCGGGCGTGATCATGGTTGGGAAATGGATGCTCTGGCAGAACGGATGGGGTCTGGGTGGACGTTATCATGGTTGGGACATGGATGCCCTGGCAAAACGGATGGGGTCTGGGCGGGTGGACGTTATCAACATGGATGCTCTGTGGCAATGCGTAAATATGTCTATACATACATACATACATACATACATACATACATACATACATACACACACACATTAAAACATACATATATATATACATATATATATATATCTCTCTCTCTCTCTCTCTCTCTCTGTGTGTGTGTGTGCGTGTGCTTAACCCAAAGCTGCGAGGAAGTCGGACCTGGGCGGGCGGAGGGGCAGAGGAGGCATTAAAGGGTGGCGAAACGACCAGGTCAGAGCCCAGTAGTCAGCCGTAGTAGTCGTTTTCGTCGTAGTATGAGAATTCGTAGCGCTGTAGTACTGGTAGGAAAATGTAGGAGTTGTGGTGGTGGTAGTAGTAGTGGTAGTAGTAGTCGTCGTAGTAGTAGTCGTCGTCGTAGTAGTAGTAATAGCAATAGTAGTAACTAGGAATCGCAGTAGTAGCAGCTGTAGCGGCAGGCACAAGGAATCAGCCATAATCGCAGCAGTATTGACCGCAGAATGAGCGCCATCGTGTGAAGTTGTGCTGTCAGGTCTGAGGGCGTGCGAGGAGGTGAGCCTGGAGTGCCGCTGCTGTATCTGCGCTCAGAATCTGCCAAGCGATGCTTCCGCGATGCCAGCATGTCACCGATGTTTCAATACGCCCTGGGCTTAGTGGAGAAAGCATCGCAGCAATGTAAGTATAAGTGCGGAGCTAGGCGCAGTTGTGTAACAGCAGCACTGCTAGCATGAATGACGAAAGGGCTACCATAGCCACAGGCACAACCGCACAGAGAGCACGAAAAACTGAAACTACGGCCATTTCGTTATCGGTCGAAGGTGTGGAAGTGGTGCTGTGGCGTGGTATTGATGGTTTAGTAGTGGAGGTGGTAGCAGCAGCAGCAGCAGCAGGAGGAGGAGGAGCAGGAGTAGTAGTAGCAGCAGCCGCAGTGGTAGTAGCAGAGGTCGTCGTCGTAGTCGTAGTGGTATTCGTAGAAGTGGTAGTACCAATCTTTTTGAGTAGTCGTACTAGCGGTACTTGTGGTACTAGTAGGAGCAGTAGCAGTAGCAGTTCAGCAGCTGTGGTTGTTGCAGTGGAAGTATTAGTACTGACAGTAGTGCCAGTACCACTACGCTAACTTCGTCGAAGTTGTTTTCCTTGTCGTTGTCATCAGAAGCAGCCTCTGCCACTGCCACAACAGAAACCACAGCTACGCCTGCCATGTGGAAATCAACTACGGGACAATGACAGCTGCAACCAGCGACATCAAGACTGGGCAAATCAAAGCTGCGGAAACATTGCTAAGCTTCGGACAGTCGCCAAACTCGAGTCCCGGTGAAAGACTTCCTGCTGAGCCGGTGCCTTTCTGCACTCTTCTCAAACTGGTTGAAGTTGAAGGCAGCCTCAACCTGCAGACATGTCTTTACGTACTAGAGAGTGAAATTATGTGATGGCAGTTGTGATGCCGTCAAGCTATCTGCGGCAGGAAGGCGCAGATGTTGATGCGAATCATGGCAGACCTCGCCGCAGAGTTCGACCCGAACCAATATCATTTCGGAGACATAACTAGGACAGCAGAATTCAGAAAGGTCTGTGGTGCTAATGGGAAGGCGGAGTAATGCAAGAGGATGCGAACTGCTCAGACCTGTTGCTGCGCATGCAGGATTGTGGTTGCCAGGCATGCTGCTGCCTGCCGTTCACAAGCCGAGAAGAGGAAGCAGGTCCGAGCGGTCATCGTCAAGAACAGACGTCGTGAGCAAATTGCATTGCACCAGGAAGCATCACGTAGCCTGGGTAGAAGGAAGGAAAATCTTTTTGGCTCCTTAAAGGTGGTTTCAGCAACCGTAGCTTTTTCATCTACGCAGCCAGAAAGGAAAACGAACCCTCCGCGTTGAGAGCCTCCGCGATTCAATGGGCGCCGAAGCCTTCAGCGACATGCTTGAGAGCCAGCAATGGACGAGGAGAAATCGAGCCGGCAATCAGTGGAATCTGTCTCAGACATACGCATGGTGGTGGTCCGAGGAAGGCGAGGCATACCGGCAAGGCCCACCATTGCCTCGACGAGATTTGGTGATGGATAACCTCCTTCCTTGCCGAAGTCGGTTGGCCGATCCCTTGCAGCGGGTTCTGCACTGCCTGACCCTGCAAACACCTGCGGCCAGGGCCGCATCCGAGATGGAAATCGTGGTCTGCAAGGATGCGCTCCCCCAACTTCTCGCGAGAGCTACAGACCGCATCATGGTTTTCAGGCTTTCATAAGAGAGCGGCATGCTTTTCGTCCCGAGTAGTAACATTGGACGGCTGTGGTTGTAGACCCAGCAATCAAATCAGGCTCAACAGCTGCCGGATCTCAAGTGCAAAAGCTTCGTATCTGCAACTGTGGACTTCGCTCGGGGCGAGGGTGAGCGAGTGCCCTCAGTACACATCGCCAGCAAGACAGGGCATCCCGAAGAGCTGGTCCTGCACCCCGACGGCAACTGAGTCTGAGAGCGTGTAAGGGGCTGTGCGAAGTGGTCAGCATGGTCAACTGCTCAGGGTAGCCGGATCCGTGTGTGACCAGGATCGCACCAGATTAGTTGAATTCCCCAAGAACGTCAGGGAGTACCAACAAGAGGTCACAAGACAAGAACATCGAGGCTGAATAAAGTCTGTGAGGAAGTCCGGGGTCCCAAGCTCTGGAAGTCAGAGGCTCGACGCTGCCTCTTTGGACAACCTACTCCCCGGCAATGTCGTGGTTCCTCGTCGCCTTCTCGAAGTCAACGGCCGCATCCTCGGCACCGTGGGCTGGGAGGAGCCAGGGCTGGAGGATGAAGTCCATGTTTACAGAGGGACCAACACAAAAAAAACAGCACATAGACACAGACATACACAGAAAGCGTATGTAAACCTTGCCCGTAGGAATCGCCTTCAGAGAGTAGTTGCTCGCGTTTTTTCCGACCCTGCATGGAGTGTCGAAGTTGTGTTTCTTGTTTCAGAGAGTGACTGAGTGGGGATGGGGGTGTCGTCGGTTTGTGATTGTAAGTGCTACCTGCCATGTCCGGCCACTCACACGCATGTACATACATGCATGTAATTATGTATATATATATACACGTACAGTACTTGGTTAGATCTGTAACTATAAGGGAATTTATGATGGAAAAGTGGTGATTATAGTTTTTGCAATTATAGGTTTAAATGCAAATATATTTTTTACGTGTACTTATGCCTATTCAAAATTCAACACACACACACACATATATATATATATATGTGTGTGTATGTCTATATATATATATATACATGTGTATATATATGCATACATGTATGCATGTATACATTCCTGCATAGTTACATGCATACATGCAGACGTACAAACAGGCATGCATGCATACATACATATACACACATATATACATATTCATACATATGTACATGTATATGTACTTACATACTCTCACACACACATACAAATGAAGAAACAGACAACATATGTATATATATATATATACACCCACTCTTGCCAGTCATGTCGCCATACACCTCGCCTGACTTCGTCGAGTGCGAGTGCCAAAAGTGTTTAAACATATATATATCTATACATATACATACATACACAGATATATGCACACACAAATACATATGTGTAAGGATGTGCAGGTGCCTTTGCTTGTTTGTGCGTGTGTGTGTGTGCACGAATGCATGCTCAGTTTCATGGATGCACGGCAAGTGCATAAACCTGTGGAGGTGTGTGTGCGTGTGTGATCGTGCGAGATTGTCATAAGACTAGTAGGAGGATCACGGACGGTACTTGGATATTCGTTTCTTCATATATGTGTACCGGCCAATTGCAGGGGTCAGGAACAGGTTCTAGAGATGAATGACTGCGTGAGTCAGACAGTAATATATATATATATATAATATGACTATCTGTCTAACTATGTTTATATATCCATGTTGTATACATATTTACTTACACATGCATACATACATACATACCTACGTACGTACATACATACATACATACATACATACATACACACGTACATACATACATACACACATGAATAAATGTGTAACCAAGTATATATATATAGATGTATGTATGTATGTATGTATGTATGTATGTCGTGAGGATCTCCCACTGGGTTGATCGTTGTAATTCTCGGCTAGTCCGTAGTCGTAGTTGTGGTTCCCCCGGTACCTCGCCTGCAGCGTCGAGTGCGAGTGCTAAAAATGTGTGTATGTATGTTCTTATGTATGTATGTAGGTATGTATTTATGGGGAGGCGAGCTCCGAGCATCTTTGTCACACTCCCCAGCATGATATACATGATTTAGACTAGATGTATACTATTGTGGTATATGAACCTATTAGTTTAGGGTTGTTCGTACCGAATACAGTGTACATGTAGATACATGGAATGGAGAGACGTTGGCTAAATTTTGAAAACGTCATAAAACAATCGTGATACAGTGGGCTTCAGCATTCGGCAAAATATTTTATGTGTCATCCCCTGGAGGCGCAAATGCTCATGTTCTGTCGTGTATTTATGAGTTCTTGGTTACGGTATGGTGGTCTACTGTGAACAGTAGATGTGCCGCAAGAACAATACCAGCAGTAGCATCTAGCGACATGGGTAAACATCTTTGATGAACTTGCTTTCGCACAGTGGGGTTCAGTAGTATGCCGTTGCATACTAAACTCAGACTTGCTCTGCATTGTCTTGACGGAGGACGTCGCGCTGGCGCTTCCACGCCCTCACGATATGTTTGTGGCACCCTCAGCTTTGAGAAGCCTTGATTCTGCGAAATCGGAACAATGCCATGTTCAGTTCAAGTGCTTCACGGCTGTTGCCTGAGAGGATGTCCACCTTCGTGGAAGGCATCCGAAGTCTTCCAAGCTTGCCGTTGCTTGGGACTGCCCGTGCGATCTGAATATACATGAGGTGTGCTTCATACACCGGTATGATAGTTTTAGTTGGCTTTATGGACAATGTCTATTGCAGGACCTCACCAACCGTCTTGATGCAGCCGAAATGCATGTTGTGCCTTGGAGACGCAAGTCCGACCGTCCAATTCACACCAGCCGAACCTAGTCGCTAGTGTAGAAGATCTCTTTGCTACTGTATCCGTTGCAGCTTGTTGTGTCACGGAGCATCTGCCACCGGCTAGGCAGAGTGACCGTTGCCAGTCGACGGCAGAGAATTGTGCCAGTCAGCGAGCATGATTTAAGCAAGTGGTCTGCCGAGGTGTGGCCTGGATCCCCGCAGGTATTGGTTGTCCGCCTTCGAGGCGGGCTCTGACAAAGCGACAACTAAGAGAAAACTAGTCCTGGCCAGGCTTAAGATTCCGGTCTCTGGGCAGAAAACACTTGAAGAGCTATCTGGGTCCTCACCTGCATCCTGACCTAAAGCATTGCAGCCTTGGGTTGCTTCCCAACCTGCCGCCTTACCGCGCAAATTCCGTGAAAGGTTCTACGGAAGGTGGACTGACTTTGGACGACGCAGCCAACCGATGCTTGTCAGCAGATAAACTCCTGAATAGGCTTGGAGCATGCGCTGCCGCAGTAAAGAGGCTTGAAAGTGCATGCGACTCTTGTGTGCCCTGTACTATCGTCCAGCATTGAACCACCCTATGTCCATACGAATGACGTATAGGAATGCAGTGCATGTAAGAGCCTCCGCCCTGCAAAGGATTGTTCGCTGAGCTTGACCACCTCCGCAGCCTGTCTCTCCCACTTTTGCAACTTCGGAGGCAGCGTGCGCAAGCATGGGACGCGAGAATGCACAGACTCAGGGGTTTGTTAAGTAAGGGTCCTGGAGATATGCGCTTCATGATGTGGTGTGGTCTTGGGGAGATGTGGGAAGAGGAGGGACGGACGAGGAGTTCTCATGGTCCATTTATGTTTGTGCTTGTCGTGAAGTCAGTTAAGAGCGAAGTGAAGATCTCAATCCGAGCTGGTACACCTGTTCTGATGGCCAAGGAGCGACGGAGGGATGCAGTGACAAGCGCAGTGAGCCGGGGCCACTTGGATACTGTACCCAGTGAAGGGTTTCCGTACATGGGGGGTCCGTTGATAAAGTTCGAGTCCTTGGTACGCAAAGCAAAGCTGCAATCTTGAAGCAGAGTCATGGGGGTCTGCCTTGCTTCTGTTGAAGCCCACCCGCGCTTTCAGACTGTGCAGTGTCTCAGGTCCCCCAGATCTTCATCGCTAGGCGCCCGAGTCTAGCATCCCTAAATGCCCCTTCTGAGTATCACGTAACGCGTCCCCTAGCACATGGTGAACTGGCGGGAGAACCCGAAAGGCTAAAGCCTCGCCAGAGCTCGAGCTGGGAGCGCCCAAATCCTATCATGGCCCAAAGATCTCAATCACTAAGCTCACTAAACTACCAAGCACTAATCGGGAAGTGCAATTTCAGTGTCAACACCCAAACATAAGGCTTGGTGCAGCCTGGGCGGCGGCTGCTCGTTGCTGTTTTCAGGGCTTTGCGCCGACTTGCTCTCCTGCTCCAGGCAATGCCGGGGCGTCAAAACAAAGGGTCGAGGTTCGGAATTCCAGAAGGGAGAAGATAAGGAAGATAAGGGATTATATGTAGGGTGCTGTAAAGGATACTCGACTGCAACATGTTATGAACCTGACACCTGGTAAGATCTGAGTCCGCTTTCGATCAGAGGTGAGGCTCGGTTTGTTGCAAGACTGACAATACACTTGAAATGCTCTGAATCTCCTGCAGGTCTTCGTGCCCGAAAGATCTGGAGCCCTACTGCGACTTACGTAGCGAACCCGGAGCCAAGAGGACCGAGTTTGGAATCCCTGCGCGGGCCGATTGCGCCAACTGGTGTCTGGGCGACAGAGAAGTGAGGCCCACATAGGCCACTACTGTAGATCCCCAGGGCCTAGGCTGTGACTCTTGGAGCTTTTGCATCGTCCAAGCACGTTTGCAAGTCATAGCTTAGCAAACAGCACTTCGGCAAGACATCTAGACTCGCCAGGCCTGTTTGCCCGGTACAACTCTTGTGCCACAGGCCATCCGTGCGTGGTCCATGGTTGAGCCAACCTGCAGACGGTGTGCCAGCACATTGAAACATGCCCTTTCCCGTCGCTTGCTCAGCTCGGATGGTTGACGTTTTCGCGATGTTTCTGTGTTTCCGGCAGCGAAATCAAAACCCGGACAAGGTTTGCATCTTGCAGTTCGGCGCCTTCTTTGCTGGAGCTACCGCGTGACATCAGAGCGCGCAAGTGGAATCGGGCAGTGGTTCACGCGCGGTGCCAGAGCCTTCGCTCGCCGACTACAGCCGTATCTGACGGCCTCCCAAGATGCGGCGCGCCGGATGGGTACCCGTTGCCGCGTCGCACTGCGGGCCGCCTGGGACAGCACGGAGCCCTTGCGCAGTGCCTTGGTTTGGTGTTAGCCATCCCTTTCTGCTTGCACAACCAGTTGAACAAGGACTTGCGCCTCAGGCAACCATCCACGTAACCACGTGATAATTCTGAATATA